TTTTCCTAAGGTGTTAGCCTCTTCAAGAATAACCTGCTCTGATACCAATTGATGTTCTAAACGTCAATACTACACAAGAGGGGGGGATGATTTGTGTGGTACCTAATTTTTGCTCTAGAAGAACCTGGTTCTTCTAGGTGTTCTAACTACTACTGTTTGCAGAATAAAAAGTACATAAAATAACGAACACAGAGATTTTTACGTGGAAAACACCTGGCTCAAAAGGTGAAAAAACCATGACCTACTACTCAGTAGGATTTTTCCAAACTTCCACTAAAATCACTGAGCCAAAACAACATTTATAAAAACTCTTTATAAACCTAAGGATTAACTCTAATCCCTTGTAGCATNTCGTTCAAGTAGTTTCAGGAGTGCACACTCAAATCTCACATAAATTTCTTGCAAAATCGCCTTGCTCTTTTGCTTTCAATTTAGTTTAACTTCTGCATTTGTGCAATACTTGTAAAAGAGAACAATCACTGTCATTTAATAGGTTAGAAATCAGAGTTTGATTGGGACTCAATTTCTGATCTTCTATCGTAGTTGAGTCCTAGAAGATATCAAACTCTAACACTCTCTTTATCCGGATTATGTTCTCTTCATATAAGGAGACTTTCTCCCCTTATCCAATATGCAACCTTTGATCAGATTAGGAGATATTTCTGCTTGAATAGTAGGACTTTTCTCCTTCACGTGCATCTCACATGTGTAGGTTGATCATGACAGTGCTTCACAAGATGGACCTGGTCCATAACTGAGTTCATTTGTCATTCTTCAAAACTTCACCTATTCTTGGGCCAACAACAAGCTTCAATTCTAGTCTCTTTGCGGTAGCCTCAGTCACGAAATTATGAGTTGCTCCAGTATCCACCATTGCACGAGCAAGCTTGTTGTTGATGGTGAGATCCACGTACTGATTGCTAGTCTCGGTAGGTTGGATAGCTTACTTTGTTATAGCACCACATAATCCGATCATACCCAACTATGTGGTTCCTGAACTCTCTCTTTGCGCCTGCTCCTTTCATTCACGGACTATGGCACTAAGGCTCTTTAGGTCGGGACAATTCCTGAAGCCGTGCGGCCCTCCGCATATGTAACATCCCTTCTTCTCGGCATAGCCCTGACGACCACTCGACTTTTTGGGATCTTGAGTCTTGGAGTATTGTTGTTGTATCTCCTTGCCTTTGCCATGGTCTCCCCCACCTTTGACATTGTTAACTTTTGATTCCTTGACATTGCCTTTGTCGTGCTTGTCATGCCTGAAATCCATCAATGATTCGGCCTCCACTATGGCTTGGTCTATATCAGTGACTTGTAGACATTGCAACTCCTACTTAGCCCAATTTTGCAACTCGTCCATGAAGTGGAACAACAAGTCATCATTAGCCAGGTTGGGGATTTGAAGCATAAGGGTAGTGAACTCCTTGACATAGTTACGCATGCTTCCTGTTTACTTCAATTCCCTAAACTTGCGCCTTGCCTCGTACAAGACATTATTTGGAAAGAACTGTCGCTTGAACTCCGCTTTGAACTGATCCCATGTGCTAATAGTACATAGAACTTTATCCACGTCGGCCATCTTCCTTCTCCACCATAGCATGGAAGTCTCTAAGAGGTACAATACCGCAGTGTTGATCTTGGCCTCGTCGTCCCTCACTTTGCCGTGCTTGTATTAGTTCTCCAAGTGCCAAAGGAAGTTTTCCACTTCTTGTGCATCACAAACACCTTTGAACACCGGGGGTTTGGGAGCCTCAATCTTGGCCTCCCTCGTCACCACAACATTGCTGGTTGCCTTGGTCACACCAGCATTGACATGCTCCTCGAGTGACTCTATCTTTGCCTTCATAGCATCAATAGTACTCAAACCCTCCATGAGTCTGCACTCTAAAGCAGTGATGGTTTGCCTTAGTTCCATCTCAGTCTGTGTACGTCCCTTCAAGTTATTTCGAATACTCTTAATCTCTTCAAGAGTGTGCCCTTCAAGAATGCTAAGGATGCCTTCCATTTTCCCCAAGTGTTGGCCAAAGATCTCCACGGCGTCCATCCCCGCGTTCATCTTCATCACCAGTCTTTACCGGGCGAGACATCCTCTGGAAGGACCTCCACTTCATCCCCGCTCGCCTCAGTGGAAGACTGTTCTTGGGATGTAAACCCTTCGTTTGACACAACCTTATGTGGCACCTACTGGCTCTTGTTGGTGGCATTCCTCTTTTTGCTACGACCGCTCTTGCCAGCAACATCCTGGATGACATTGGCTTGGGTGTTGGCAGCGTTAATTTCTCCATCGTTCTCCATTCCCTTAGTTGAAACCTTCGCTTTGATACCACGTTGTCACATCCTTAGTTGTTAACTAAGTACTCGCGCAGCACTTGACAACTCGCTCACGATCTTGCACAACTTGCTCACGTTCTTGCTATGTCAAGTCAGCCTTACTACACTCAAGATCGCTAAGAGAATGGAAGAAAGAACACAAGAGAATTGTTAAAGGAAGTTTTGTATTTGAGAGAACTTGAATTGTTTGCTTGGTGAATTACAAATGAATGGCCCCCTTTATATACTAGTCTCCTAGGGGCTAGTGTGTAAATATTAATTATTACACAAGTCCTTAATATTTACAAGATAAGGGCTTTCTCTAGAATTCTCTACAAGTCTAGAAGATTCCAAAGACTTTCCTAGCAAATCCATAAGGATCTAGGTTCTTCCTAAGGAAATGTCCATACTTCTCTAGAATCTTCTCACAGATGTTAGCCTTGTTCTTATATAAGCTTCCACATGACATTAATATATGCCAGATGACGCCTATGTGACATGATGACGTGGCGGGTCATCACATTTTGATGTAAAATTTACCGAAATCGATTGTGAAATGCATGAATTATAGTAATAAAGTTTTGTAAAACAAGAATAAATATAACAGTAGCCTCAAAAAGGGCTATTAGAGAAAATTAGCCTTAGGGGTTCGAGTTGATGAACTAACCCAACTTCTCAAAGAACCTTCGAGACTCGAGAGGACCCTCTAAACTAGCCAAAAGGGTATGGTCCCAAATAGAAAGTAGAAACCGCCCTCTCTTCAAAATCACAGACAGAAAAGCAAGAAAAAAGAAACTCGCAAAATACTACTATCACAAACAGCCAAACATTTGATTCCCGGTTTCACACACACATACACACAGCGAAAAAGCGCCCTAAAATCTCCTTACATTTTCCTCTTCCGTCAAACGATGGCGAATAATTTCGGTATCAACCAACCGTCGTCGTCGACGACGGCAGCGGCGGCGTCACCATCGCCGTCGTCGTCTGCCGCGGATTCGTATATCGGAAGTTTCATTAGTCTGACATCCAAGTCTGAGATTCGTTACGAAGGAGTGCTTTACTATCTTAATCCTCAAGACTCTTCCCTTGGCTTGAAGAACGGTATTAGAATTTAACAACGCGTTTGTCTCTTGTCACATTTCTTATTAAATTATCCTCCTTAAAATTATTAGTAATGAATGAATTTTCTGGTGATTTATTACTTATATTTATATTTATGTGCACATTATTATATCTGACTATTTTGTTGTTAATAGAAAACTGGAAATGAATTATCGCTTAGTTTGGAAAAGTATCTTAATGTACATGTGGTTTATTTTCAGAAACTGGACAAGATATTGAATCGGAAAATTGAGCAGGTCAAGGGCCATTTGTATAGACTTTGATCAGTTGTAATTGACATGTGACACCTTAAATATCTAGAACACGTGCGCAGGGTCGGAAGAGGGACAACTTATGACCAGGTTATATTTTGCAGTAGAATTTTTGTAGGCTAAGAATCTAGGGAAGCAGGCCAGCAAATTATCTAAAAACAGAGAATCGAAGCATTAGTTTTGGGAATACGAGCACAGAGTTGGGCTGATAGTAACTCGCTGAAGAGAGTGAGAGAGGGAGAGTTCTAATTGACTGTGTACTTCTTGCTTGGAATGGGAGTGGAGCTCAAGTGCTCCACGTCTAGGTTTGGTTCCATGAATGATAGTGGAAGGATAAATATAGAGAAACAACTGATTTGCTTCTCCTAGACGGATTATTAGTTGTGTACTTTTTGAATGTTTAGTATGGAATGGAAATAACAGTGAAATTTATCATTTTATTTTGGAAGTTCTTCCTATGCTTTATCCACCTGATAAACATAATGTCGATAGGGAGAGCTTGAGTAAGGATGGTGGAGCTGAGAAATTGGAATTTAGGCTTAGGTTTTTGATTAAGAAAGTGAAAGATAAAAAGAGAATGAATGAACACTTAGTATCATAGTTTGGATATTTGGTATTGTTGGAAGCCTGTAAGGGAAGTAAAAAGAGGAATATGTCCTTTTCATTCAATTTGGAGGCTCCTTCTCATCCAAACAAACATTGTTTAAGCAATCTGTTGGAAAGTTTGTGAGATCTTGAAGGACGACTCGAGGTGAAATTGAGAAGTTGGAAATTAAATTAGGGCTTTGATTGAGACACTGCAGAAACAATGAGAAGGTTTGAATACCTTGTAGCTCCAAATGTTTCCCATAGAACTTATTATGATACATGGATTGCCTACAAATGATGCTTTGATTGCGAGGGGCGTGTTTGCTATTATGACTACTGCCATTGAAAAGTTAGCTGGAATGGCTTGTTAGTTCAGATGGTCAAACTGCCATTTCTGCTAAATATCTTAAGTATTACAGTTTTCAGTGTTGTCAAATCACAAATGTGAAAGGCTCAAAGATGCCTCAAGGTCTTTTGAGGACGTAAACGCAAAGCGCTGTTAAAGCTCATTTCTTTAGTGAAAAGCTGTGCTGATGAAAATATATGTGTCTGTTATATATAAAATGCAAGAAGAAATACTACTAATACAAAAAGTGATTATATGGACAAAGGAATTGAAGAAGCTGCAATTGAGTGAGTTATATGAAGTAAGAACAATGTCAATTGACTTCAAGACCTATTTAAAATTCTGTTTTAGAATTTAGGAGTAGTGCTTTAGATTAAATTTCTATTTTCCTACGGGCCACCTTTTGCCTGGTAATAGTTAGAGCAAACAGTGTCCATTCTAAGTGTCTAACTTTAGACCATTGGTTAGTTTGGTGAGGTTGGCAAAATAATGCTTCTAAATTATCTTTTGATTGATTCTTTCAATAATATGGTTTGGCCCATTTATATGTCACACTTTCCTCATGGGATAAGTTCAAATGTTTTGACACACTTGTGCAACCAATAACTGGTTATACACAATTGGGTTTAATCCTCCAAATTTCTAATCCAGTTTGATATCTTTCTATGAAAATATCAATTCCAGAATTCAGATAAACCTGAGAATGTTTTTTCTGTTGTTAGAAAATGTACTATATACAATGTATAAATATTTTTTTTGTGTTACCATTACTGAAGTCTAACCATGCATCGTTGAGTTGACTTGAATAAATGGGGTAAATGGAGAAGCGTCTCCCTTCACCCTTGTGTGAATCACTAGTTTTCCTTGATGGAGTAAAGTTTAGTTTTTCATTGCGCTGATTTGTTGCATTTCTTTGTAAATCATTAGTTTCACAAGAACTTGTGCCTTACAATTGTGATTCCCTAGATAGAGGATTAAATGAGAATTTTAGAAGGGGATGCTGGCTGCATGTTTATGATTATTTCCATGTCGGAACTCTCAGCAATTATTGAAAAAAAAAAACTTCTGTTGACCCATGTTCTATTTGCAGTGAGATCATATGGAACTGAGGGGCGTAAGAGAGACGGTCCACAGGTTCCTCCAAATGATAGAGTTTATGACTACATTTTGTTTCGTGGGAGTGACATTAAGGTACGTGGATATATTTTGATTGATATAGAAAGCTTGGTTTTACTTTTGGTAAAGAGACTCAACACAGTTGGTTAATGTGATGCTACTTCTTTTGATCATATATACTTATCCCCAAATACCTATGCCTAAATTTCTTAATTTCTTATTTTTATATACTAGCACCGACTATCTTCTGGACCTTGTTAGCTCTCTGATCCTAGCTTGGTTTTTTTTTTTGGGGGGGGGTTGGGGGTGTCTCAGCACACCAACGGTCATCTCACTTTGTATCTTTTTTTTCTTATGCATCTTCTTGATGCCTTTTTAATGATAACAGCATCTGAAATTAACTAAACTTGCATGCTGTTAATATCATTACTCGATGAGAAACCAATTATACGTTCTGACAGGGAGCTATTGTGCCATGTAATGTTGCCTATGTCTCTTATGAATTCACTTCGTTTGATCTAACTAATTAGACTAGTGAGCATATATTCAAAATATTTATATAATATTCCATTATATTAGGGGGAATGGTATGTTCTGCTGATACCAGACAACCTAAAGGGGATTTTGTGCAGAACTTTTGTGCACGCATATGTGTATATAGGTTGATATATATTGATTAATCAAGTCAATGGATAAAGTTGCACCAAGACGCTACCAAAAGAACATGTTTGCATACAACATTAGTCTTACAAAAAAACTGATCCAACTATCTATACAAAAAGGGATCTTTCTTTACAAGTAAAATATAAATTAAACATGAAGAAACTCCTAAGAGAGGCTTTTCACTTCTTCCAAATAATCTTCTGGTCTTCCTCCGAATCTTTCAACATAGACAATGGTCCGGGTTTGAAAATTGGAACATCTCCTAGTTAAGAGATCCTGTAGCTAGGCTCCGATTGGTCTTTGGCTTTTTATTTTTTATTTTGTTTGACGGATCTGTGATGTGGCCACATTGGGTATACTACAACAACTGCTTCGATACCAAGTTAGTTGGGGTCGACTATGTTAATCCTCACTGTCTATGTCGTTCCATATGGATTTGGTCTGTGGCTTTGCTCATATTTGCCGGTCCCAGGCCTAAATAGACTAAGAAGGGTTGCGGTAGGTTGACAACCAGCATAAAACTAGTCAATTACGTTGCTGCCATGTTTCATATACTTACCCAACTTTTTTATTTATTTAAAAGAATCAGGTAAAGTAACGTTTCATTAGAAAGCTTCCAGAAGATGGAACTGAGTATACTTGGCAACTTCCTAATTGTGTATGATTGGAAAAAAGATGTTTTTCCCTTTGTTAAAATAACTCTAGTTTTATGTTACCTTCTCAAAAAAAAAAAAAAAAACTGTCAGCTGCTAAAAGTGGTGGTGGTTGGGGGGTGGGGGGTATAAATGAAAGGAAGTTATATACAAGAAGTCTACCTAGCTTGCAAAAGCCTCTCTGTCATATTTCCATTGTGTGATTATCTCTTTGAAGCATTTGGAGTGATTTTATTGCTTCAATTTCTTTGTAGATTTTGTTGTTCACTAATATCTTTGTGGTAACGGGTTTCTTTTTTCGGCAGAACATCATCATTTCCTCTCTTAGCCATTGCATGTTGATTTCTAAGAAAAATATCTTCTCTTTCAGGATTTGCAAGTAAAGTCCTCTCCACCTCCTCAAGTGGAAGAATCATTGGATAACGATCCTGCAATTATTCAGGTGCTTAATCTCCATGTTAATTTCAAGAGATGACACCTTAAAGTTTCTATTGGTAAAATTTGCATGGAAATTATTCTGATTTATTTACCCCGAAAAAAAAACTGATAGTAGTGCTAGAGTTTATATTTATTCCAAGTCTTTTATTCCTGCAGTCACGCTGTGCTGGAGTCCATCCAAGCTCTTCAAGACCAGTTTCGCTGAATGGTGGATCTTTGACAGAATATGGCACTTACAAGGAACCTGCTTCCTTGAATAGTGTGCCACCTTCACATCAATCAGTAAACCATTTTGAACAAGGCAGTTCTGAGGCAACTCAATCCAACTTCGGTTCTTATACAACGCCAACTTATGGACAAAGACACAGTGAACCCGCAAGCAGTCACCATGCTCCACAGCATTCTCTTCTACCTGCTGTTTCACATCCAATGATGCAGGATTTGCTGCAGGCGTATCCACTCCAGGGCCCTGAACCTTTCACATCAACTGTTCTATCAAAATCCGTAGCTCCAGTGCCTTTGGTTACCACTGCAAATTCTTTATCTTTAACTAGTAGACATAGTCTTGCACCCCAACAACTTCCCATGGCTCCTAGTACTAACATTATATCTCCCTTATTAAATGTATCATCTTTGTCTTCTTATGCGTATGCTCCTTCTGCATTTGCCCAATCTGGTCAAAATGTGGGTTCTTATGCGTATGCTCCTTTGGTATTTCCTCAATCTGGTCAAAGTGTGGGTAACTCTGGTGCTCCAATCCTTGCTAGAATAGGTTCCAACACTTCACCCTTATATCCTGTATCCCCAGTTGTAGATTCCTCATCAGGTGTCTTTCCACAGCAACCCCCTAGACTGCTAACTCCCGATCAGTTATCTCTACCCAGATTATCTGGGCAATTATATTCAGATCAGAAGGACCTTGGTGCTCTGAGCTCGGAACCTTTGAATCCCTCATCACTTGCTACTCCAGCAGTCCAAGCGCCATTGTTGCCATTGCCACCTGCTGCGAAGAAGGTTATTTAACTCTTCCTTTTTTATGAGTGGCTTGTTGATGTTTTTCCTGTAGTTATTATTGCCTATGATATAGAACTATCTGCTGCCCTTATGTAGTTCAATCGCCTTATCAATATTAAAGTGGTTGAATCATTGTGAAATTGATTCTGTTTATTATTCTTTTAATTGTTTCGACAAATGACTTCTTTACCATGTAGATCAGCTGCCTGCTCTCGTATCTTCTTTATTTGGGGTATGGTCCGTCTTGACATCTAAGAAATGTGTGATATTCTTGATGGTTTGATTCTATCGTTGTTTCTTCCTTAGCCTTAAAATTCTAAGGTCACATTCATTTCCTCTATTGATTTATACATAGTTTGCTGCATGTTTCTGACGGTAAGTCCAATTGGATGACATGCCATGGCACAATAATGCCTTTGCTATAGACTTGTAACCATAAGTGGGCATACATTTATTTTGGCTCTTATTTGGAAAAAGAAAAAATCTAGAGTTAGAACTTAGTAATAATAAGGAAAATTTTGAGAATGTTGGATTGACAGTGCAGAGACGGTAGATAGAATACTCTTGTAAGAGGTCTGTGGCCCTACAGAAGCAGTTATTATGGATTTAAGACGCAAAAGCTAATCTCTATGCATCTTTTGGACTTTATGGCCGGAAAAAAGCAAGTGATGCTTTGAAGGACAAAGAAGACGTATCTCTAGAATTAAGAACAAATGTCTACATAATTTGTATTTCTGGTGTAAGAGCAGTATTTTGGAGAATGTAGATCAATATTTGGACTTTATTGGGATGCTTGGAAAGTTATTGTAACTGGCTATTCTGGAGCCTTCTTTCATGTACTTTTGTGTACCATCTTAGTACTTATTTAAGAAACCTTTACCTTATCCA